TGTATATCCTGAAACGAAATGTGTATGGTTTCCTTCTCCCTCAGTGTTACTCCAGTAACAATCTATAGCAAACTTAACGTTGTCTTTAACATCATATCCTTTACCTTTTGTCAAGCTGTGCCAATCCCAATATCTATGCTTATGCCAACCTGCTTGGGATGTACTTAAATCTATGTAGTGACTGTGCGCAGGTAAATTTTCACCTGAAATCGTTTTACTTCCACCTGTTTCCTTTGAAGAGTTTGCACAATACAAAAACCTGTCGACTATTTGTTCCCATGCACCAACACCAAACATTACTTGAGGACCTCTTGCTTCCATAGATGTATAAATAGAACCTACTGGGTTCATTAAATCAAACATATGAGACATTATAGGATTGTCTCTTTTGAACTTAAAATATAGTGCAACTATTTCAGGTTTCTTCTGGTTTGTGTCAGAATATTTTTTATAATATAATCTTATGTTTTCAGGGTAGGTAAAATCTTGACTATAATATTTATTTCTGTCATCTTCATAATAGTATACTATTCTCGTTTTTTCTATTGCATTATATCTTTTATATCTATAAAAATCTAAATATAATGTTAGCTTTTGTTCATCTACATGTGGTGTTCTGACGTCATCTCCATAGTCATAATAATGTGGTGCCGGAGCTGGGTCAGGCAATGTCATATCTGTCATTTCATAAACTCTTAAATATTTCTTTTGTTCGTCTCCATATAAGTTTAAGTAGCAGTTGTTGTCTAATGGAACTTTAACTTGTGTACCATCATTCTTTTTATAGCTTACATACATTTCATTGTTATTTTTCGGAATGAGTTTATACCGTGTACCATTCCTTAAGGAATGTACAAACTGCCATCTAAAATATTTGTTTTCTTCATTGACAGAAAAGTCACCAACAATAGTTTCAATATTTTTTGTTCCAACTAAACTTTGGTATATTTCATTGACATATGTTTTATCTGCTTTATTTTCAAGGCTAACGTTTAAGTCTGTTATTTCAGAAGATGTATGTGTATGTCCAACGTCACTTTTCCTGTTTAAGGTTTCTTGTAAGTTTGTAATATTTGCAATGGTATGTGTATGTCCAACGTCACTTTTACTGTTTAAGGTTTCTTGTAAGTTTGCAATATTTGCAATGGTATGTGTATGTCCAACGTCACTTTTCCTGTTTAAGGTTTCTTGTAAGTTTGTAATATTTGCAATGGTATGTGTATGTCCAACGTCACTTTTACTGTTTAAGGTTTCTTGTAAGTTTGTAATATCAGATATAGAATGTGTATGAGTCTTTTTAGAATATTCGTTTTCAGCTCTTGTCACTTCACTTGACATTTTATTGTCAACATATGTTTTGTCTGCTAGTTCAGGATGAGTATGTTCTTTTGTTGCATAAGCTTTGTCAGCTCTTTCTTCTTCTTTTGCTATTGCATCGTCTACATATTCTTTGTCAGCTTTGTTGCCAACATCTGCTTTCAAAAGAAGTTCATTTATAGGTTTCTCGTTTAAAGTTCCTTTTGTTGGATTTATACAGACAGTATGGTTCTTATTGTCTTGAAACAGAAACTCATCTGTCATTGGGTTTAATGTCAGTTTTAAGTTTCCTTCTTTCAATGACTCAGATATCTTAGAATAGTTTGAAAAGTTTGTTGTGTTCTTATTTAGAGCTTGTATAATGAGTTGTCGGTTGTGTTGTATTTCTCTCATAGACGCTGTTTCATTTGACATTTTTATTCTAGATAAAATATGCTTTCAATAGAAAAAGAAAATTCAAGAGTTGCTACAACTAAACCATTAGATGAACTTTTTACCAATGTAGGTCAAAAGTTTGAGACAGAGACCGTAAAGCATGAAGGCTATCGTTTTGACTACCCGTTAAGATGGTTAAGAGACCCATCTGTCACAAAAGCTATTGGCTTTCGTAGAATGAAGTTCATTTCAGAAGCCATACATGGTTTCCCATTTACAGTCGGTTTTGAAGTTCGATACTATAACAAAGAAAAACGTACGTATGAGAAATTTGAACAGGGAAAACTTTTACAAGTGAATTTGCTTGTAAACTTAGAAACAACTCTTCAAGCTTTTCAAGAAAAAATAAACGATATCTATCTCGAATATGCAAAACAGTATAACATTGACGAAGGAGAGTACCATCTCGATATTATATATGACAGGAAAAATGCAACTGTTAAAATCAATAGAATAGAAGACCTTGGAGAAAACGTTTATATTTCTACAAAATATAACAACTTGGCATGGTATAGATTTATGAGGATGTTAAATCAGCCTGCAGCATATCCAGTACACCCGAACTTTTATGAAGTCGAAAACCCTAATGGAACATATGAAAATGTTTTCGACCAAGATGCTATTATAGTTCATGCTTCATTTTCTGGTGCACAAAACTCTTTTTTATGCTTGGCAAATGACTTTTACGAAAAACCTACAAAGCTATATGAACCACCAAGTGGAAGTATTTCAGACTTTCAAGTATGGTTTACAACAGATGGAAGAAAGAGAATAATTCCATTATACCATGCGTTTTACTTAGAACTTAGTTTCATATACAACTACTATCGAACGGTAAAAATATAATTTTTTAATACGGTTGAGGTGTTGGATTTGGTTGCCAACTAGACTGTGGTGCAGGTTCAGGCTGTTGTATAACAGGAGCTTGTTCTTCTGGTTCAGGGTCTTTAGGTATAATACCAACGAACTGACCTACTCTTTTACCAATATTTTTGACTCCGTTCCAAATTCCTCTTCCTACGGTTTTTATTCCATTCCATATACCTCTTCCAACTCTTCTGAAGAAGTTTCCAATACTACTGAAGAAACCCATTTTACTATATGTAAAAATCTAATGTCCGCCTAGTCTCTTACGTTTCCTGTTGAGTTCCATAGCATTCTTTAACTGGAGCTCATACATTCTGTTTCTCCTCTGGTAGAAAACATATTCTGGGTCAACTCCTGTGTTCGCGTCATCTGCATAAAGTTGTTTATATCCCACTTCAGGGTTTGTATAAAACTCTTTCCATCTCATATTTGCATACCATGGTGGCAAACCTAACGCAGCGTCATTTGACATGGCAGTTTGCATTTGTACATCTGTTGGCACTTGACCATAGTTTGCCATTGCAGTTTGTATTCTAACTTCATTTGGAATATTCTCTGGGTTTGGTTGTCCAGGTTGCTGTGCATTCGCTAAGTTCTGTGCGTCCATTTAATATTAGATAAAAATATCTCTTAAGAGTACATATGCTGAACATTTGCAGGCATTGGTTCATCTTCATATTCTCTATATCTTTCTGCCACGTCAAAGAAATAAATGACACAATGGAAAAAACCTAAAACAAGTAGTCCTATTTCAAACCACATTTACTTACTAATAAAATTTCTTTATTGTGACACTTTCTCCAGTTTATAGGACCTCTCTCATATTCTATCTTGTCATATCTAAACTCATAGTCATGTATGTCCTCTAACCATCTCATAACGGTTTCCAAACCACTTTTATCGGATGTAAAGTAAAAGCATGGATGGTTATGTAAAACGTCTAAAGTTTCTAAAGAGTCTCTCAAAGTCCAGTCTACTTGGTATTGAAAATCCCATGTGTTATAGAACGGCGGGTCCACTATAAAGAAAACATTTTCCTTGTCTTTATATTTTTCATACAACTCTGTCCAATGACATCTCACAAACTCTATGCCCTCAATATATTTTTCTATGTTCTCTTTGAAAACATTTGTATAGTTAAGATATAAAACTTTTGACATAAGTGTTTCAATGTCATGAACTCTTATAGAACCACTATATAATAGTCTAGCAGATATACTATCCCAGTCTATATATTCTGCTTTTTTCAAAACCTCTCTCACAATATTTTTCTTATCTAATGGTATACGTTCCATCTTACCTATAGGTATCTTTTCTTTTAACGCTTTCAATATATTGTTTGTGTCTGGTATATGTTTGAGACGGTCCATATAGTTGTCGAAGTCATTGCATATAATCTTTGAGTCTGGAAATATTGTATGGCACAGATGGGATATATAGAAACTTCCACCGAACAAATCTACAAATGTTAGACCATTCGGTAGTTTCTTAAGTTCTCTCAATAGAATATCCTTACATCTACTCTTATTTCCAAAGAACGGTAACGGTGGTTTTGTAAAATTCATTTATATATAATAATAAAAATGTTTTTTCCTGAAAAGTGACAGAAAAGTGACAAAACATGAAAACATATATAATTTGTGAAAAGCGACACATTATATAATGTTTTCGACCCAGAAGACTAACAATTTTCCGAATAAAAACTTCATTTATACTAAACATCTTCGGGAAGCCCTCCGAATAAAAACTTCATTTATACTAAACATCTTCAGGGCTAGAGGGCGCAACGCGCCTGGAAGCCCCACTACCTTTTTTTTTTTTTTTTTTTTTTTTTTTTTTATCTTCCATCACTTAAAACTCTCACAGCTTACAATATAAGCTAAAAAGTATATTTTCATAGTAATAAAATTAATTATTAAATTTTTTACTTTTTCCTTTCCAAAACTAGAAAAAAAGGAAGGGAAAAGGGAAAAAGAAGAAAGAAAAGAGAAAAAGAAAAAAAAAGAAGAGAAAAGAAGAAAAAATAATAATGAGCATATTATATAATTGTGGTCATAGGCCGAGTGGCGTGGAAAGGATGTCGCCCTTCGGGCTCCACCCTTTCCACGCCACGAGGCCCGATTTTTGGCCACTTTTTTGATTTTGGCCGCCTGCCAGGAGCTGGCACGCGGCCCGCAAAATTGTGCCAGTTTGTACAACCCTATAAATTTTGTAGTTTACGTGTATCTACTTTCAAATAAATAAGTATATAACAAAGTTGCGAGAATGTTCTTGTTAACTTTTGGTAAAATTAACAGAATAAAGAGATACACATTTTGGAAAAGATAATATATATAAAACGAAAATATATATTTACAATAATACAAGATAAATAATAAAAATTAAAATACCGGGATAACATGAACAGAACCATCAGTTGTGATTGCAATCAGAGACCTTGTACCCCACTGTTCAATATATAGTGAATCTCCAATTTTATCGCAAATCTTCGTCATCTTTTCAGGGAAAGGAGCTTCAAACAAAAACATTTCTTGATTCGAATTCGTGAAAATGATGTGGTCGAATCCGTACCTGTCATTGAAGGAGCAAACGAATGTTGGTAATCTGTTTATTGGGTATTCAGCCACTTTAACTCCATTGCAAGTATAAACAACGATCTTTGCGGCCAAGTTTGTATCATCCAAACCTTCGCAAAAAGCAACAATGAATCCCCAATTTTTAGTAATTACCAAATTTGTGCAAACAAAAGATTCCAAATTCAAAATCTGTGTCACGTGTTTTGATAAAATAGACACTAAATAGATTTCTCCTTCTCTTGTTCCTACAGCGACCATCTGGAAAATTGCAGAAACAGCTAAAGCTTCGATTGTTCCAGCGTTTAGTTGTATCGAGAAAATCATTGATTCGCTGTGTTTGTAGATGGAAATTGTTGAATCTGTTTGTGCAAAAGCCATGTAATTACTAGAGAAATCATAAGCAGTGATATTCGAATGGAAAACAACTTCTCTTTCTGATTCGCTTTCCAAAGAAATCAACTGCACTTTGTCTTTCTTTGTACCAATCATCATGATCTTTAAACTCGTGATTGGAATCAAAACATTGAGTCCTTCTGCGGCATTCGACATCGTCAAAGGAATTTGGAATTGTTTTTCATTGATAAGTCTCGTTGTCGATTTCTCTGGATTGAATCTCAACGTTCTAATGAAACTGTTCTTGTCTAATGTCAATACAGTGATCTCATCCTTGTCTTTCTTGATGACACAAACACCTCTTAAATCTGACGAAAAAGGTGACATAATTGAATGTTTCAAAACTTTTTTGTCGACAACTTTTCGAGAAGGATGGAATGATTTGAACAACTGTGTAGGACAAACACCTCTTGATACATCACTTCCTTCGTATATTACAGGATTGAAGGTGTTCATGTCATCGTTTCTTCCGCTTCCGAAAACTAAATGAATCCATCGATGCAAATTTTCAGAAACTTGGTCGCTTTCGAGGATTTTCCTGTTCAAGTAGACGAACATGAACGCGGAGTTGTTCGCCCACTTAGGAAGCTTCATTCCTTCAACTGATTCTGGTAGGAAATAGTATTCAGGAACAGATTCTTCGTAAAAACCGTAATCGCAGTAAGATTTCTTGAAAATTTCTTGTATCGATTTCGGTTTCTCTTCTTTGTACAATGATCTGAAAGGTTCGATACTTGAGAGCATTTCAAGAGTTCTTTGTGGCGTTGAAATGAAATTATCATACAAATATTTCATTTCTTTTGCAACTTTCGCCAAAATTTTTAATCTGTTTGGATTCATTGATCCGATTGGTTTCGAAAGATCTCTGAAGAATTTCGACTTGACATTAGACAAATCACTTGAGAATTCCAAATCTCCATCATCGTAATTAGTTAATAACCATGGGAATATTGGGTATTGGCTCAAACTATTAAAAGATCTTCCTGCAAAAACATTCAAAGCAATCAAATACTCGAAATTACTTATTCTTCCTGTTACCCATAATTTCGTGTAATTTGTTGACGCGAAATACTCCGGAGTTCCTGTTTTCTGAATAGGGAATCTCAATGTATTGATATTCAATGAACTTAATGTCACCAAAAATTCAAAAGCTGTCAGTTTTCCTTTCAATTTTAAGAGGACATTTGTTCCGTTATTTAAATTGATTTCTAAAGAAGAATAATCTTTTCCTGTTGGTTTTAGTAAGACGCTTTCTATCTTCTTCAGTTTGATGACTTTAGTATTCGAATCCAATCTCCTGTCAATGATAATTGAATTTGTAGTTATCGAAACAGTTACAGGAATCGAACTAGAAATGTTTATGTCTTCTGCTGTGGTTGTTTCGAATGTAAAGTCCTGTTTGTTGTTGTCGTTTTCTGTCTTCTCTTCGTAGTTGTCTTCCATTTCATCATTTCTATCCAAGAAAACTGATTTCGTCCTCAATTTTACAGTGTCAGACGATAAATAAACTTTTTTGACTTTCATTGGAACGAAGAAAGAACAAATCACAGGAATTCTCTTCTTAACTATTTCATCTGTTCCGTATTTGACAGCATTATGCCATGGATATCCTTCGATTGTCTGTCTAGACCAGAATTTTCTCCATGTCTGACGGTTACGGTTTGACAAAACCGATTTATCCATCAACAATTTTTGTGTCAAACTGACTTGTTCATTGAAAATTGGTTCTTGTGTGTATTGTTGAGTTTTCAGGGATTTTTCAGTGAACAAACTGAGAAAATCCATGTAACTCTTGAAGTAATTCACACATAAATCATCTCTTGCAACATTCGACAAAGCGAAATCAGAAATTTTCAGCATTTCTGAGTAAGGCAATTTTCCGATTTCGATGATTTTATTGTTAGTTTTTGTTGCCAAAGCGTTGTAAACGCAATGATCAGGTAACAATTCTCTTGTCAACATTGGAGAGTTTTCCATGAATTCCTTTCCTTTTTCACAACCATTTCTAAGTAAATAAGAACAGATCAATATCAAAGTACTCACATGTTTCTTAAGAGGACAGAAAGAGAAAATGTCCAATGCCAAACTGGCCAATTCCATTTCAGTCCAATTTCCGTTTTTATCTGTCATAAGTCCGAATCTTCTTATCATCACGGAATTTGTTAGTTTGTTACGTATTCTAACTGATATTGTCTCTTCGCACATGTCTTCAGTTAATTCGCTCATCAAAACTTTATATGGAGTGTTGAATGAAGAATTTTGTTTTCCGCCGGAAATTCGAATAAAATTCTTACATGTTGTGAATAAAACAACAGGAGTAATGGCGTTGATCTTCTTAGGTGGTGGGTTTTTAATTGTAACACTTGAGTTCATTAATTTCTCTTTAATTAATCGAGAAATTGACAAAAATTCTGAAGAACCGTCAGTTTTTTGTTGTTTTTCAGAATTTTCATTTTCTGAACTTTCTGTATTTGTTTGTTCAGTTTTTTCTTCTTCTTCAGCTTGTTCCAATTGTTCCAGAGACATTTCAACAGATTCCAACAGATCACTACCGAATCCATTAGTCAATGAATCGAATTTCGTGTTGTATGTTTCAGTACAATCTTCTGACAGAGTTTTATAAGTATTTGATATATAATTGCATGGTTTTGTGAACAAAAATGTTCTTATTATATGTAAGAAAGCATCAGTTTCGCCAACACTTCTTGTTAAAGGCGAATCTTTGAATCTTTGACTGATTTCTTTTATGTAATTCCTGCAAATATCCAGAGAATTAAACATAAAAGCGTTTGCAATCAGTTCTAACATATAATATACTTTTGTCCACACTTTTGGACCACAATTAATCAAAAATGTTTGGATTTTTGATTTCGTCTTTTCTGAATAAACAATCATCGAATAAACAGAGAACAAAGGTGAATAAGAAGAGCTAAACAACTCAGAAGATGGTTGTATCTCATCATATACTTTTGTACAGTATTCTTCTTTATATGAACTGACATATGCTAAAAGTGGAAAATAAATTTTGTCACTTTTACAAATTTGAACGAGTCTGTTCAGAAAATCAGGGTTGATTAAAATATTTGGTAACTGAGTTATGATGTATTCCAACTGTTCTTCCATGATGAAAGCAATAACAGTCTTTGAAACACTTCTTATAGTGAACAACATTTGAATGATTATGTCCATATCCAAAGTAGCAATCAAATTAACAATCAAAATCAAATGTGAATAATCAATTTCATTACTAGAAATAACAACATCGGAAAGGAAATCAAGTAACTCAATGACTTGTTGCTTCTCGCCATTAGTTATTATTTGATTTACAATTAAATTGACATCTTCTGTTTTAAGTTTTTTCTTCAAACTTAAACATGTTGTGAATAAATTTCTTCTGACTATTTTTGTGTCGTAATTTGGTTTCTTCACTTTTCCTATTGGTGCAATGATTCCACCTTCTATCGGTTCGTAATACAAATAACTTCTCATCAGCAGAAGAATTTTGGATATTGGCATGATATTGTCACAGATCTCTGGATAGGCAGGATACAAAACATGGCCCCAATGATATGTGATCTTCTCAAAATCATTACTCGAAATCCATAAGTTGAAATTCAATAAAACCGTTTTGAAAAGATTTTCACATGAAAAATTATTCAAAACTTTGTAAAAATCGGTGTATAATTCATATGTTCTGTGTTCTGGAGATGCTGATTCTAATAAATGAACAATGATGTTGAAGCCCTCGTTCTGCATGAACTCTATTTGTGGTTTCCTGCAAATGGAGACTAATCTTCTTAATAATCTTGTGTATTTCACCGCACCATCTTGGAGTAGTTGGCCATTACGGTAGGGAAGATCGAGTTCACCGTACATTGGTATTAGTACTGATATTCCGAGTCGATTTGAAAGAATATTCAGAAAAGTCAAAGATGTGCGGTTTAATGGAGGTTCGTAGTTCATTCTGAACTTGTTTTCGGGATGCTGCCTGAAAATGATCTTATCTGACTCTTTCGTTGGCTTCGTCCAGAGAATTAAATCGTCAAATCTTTCTGGAATGGAATTGACGTAGAACTCGAAGATTTGAGCGCGTTTTATTGGAGTAAGCTCATTGAAGATACCGAATGGGCCAATTAAACCGGCTTTTTCTGGATTATCGTCATTTGAAATTTGGAGCAAAGCCTTTTCGGGTTTAATTGCGGGCAATGGGAATGTTGGTCGACAACATTCTTCGTGGGATAGGTAAAGAAAGACATAAAGCTGATTTGTGAAATTTGTAGAAATTGTCGCAGAAAGAGGGAACCAGCGATTGACAGGACAGATGATTGTAGATGGTCCTGTCCATAATTTGCCATCCGATATCATTGTGGCCCTTAAAAGTCCATCAAAAACTTCAATATTGATATTTGTTCCAATTTCATCGGCAAACGTTGCGAGGATTATTTTCTTATCAACAGAATTTATATAGAACCAACCGAAAAATGAAGAACTCGTAAGAATTTCACTCGATAAGTTATGAATTTGAACAACATTCGTGTTAGAAATAGGAAATCCGACTTCTGGTATCTTTCCTGCATCAATTATTAGCTTTGTAATGAAATCAAAAGCTAATTCTTGATGAGTCAGACGATATTTCTCTTCTATTGGCCAGAGAAGGCTGATGAAGCGATTGACAACTGTTCCACTGCATACTTCAGTTGAAATTGTCTTCAAAACATCGAAAGCTTGCTTTGCAATACTTTCTGATTCGCTGTTCTTTATGATATCGATAATTTCAATATCTGTTGTTGCCTTATGCAATGTATGGATATTGTCTATCGAATATTCAGCAAGTTTTCTGAGAAATTCTAAAATTGATATGAAAATTTTAGAATTTTCAAAAACATTGAGAATCAGATTGATTGCTTTTGGCTTAACAATCAAAAATGTAGGTTCTATCTTTCTAAATTGAGAGCAAGCTGAAATTTCAATTAATTTTTGGAAAATTGCTAGAGGAGGATCTTTTCCATAGATTTTTCTTATTCCAAGTTTGACCTTCATCAAGTCACTTCTTGAATAATCAACGTGATTTGAAACAGTGACCAACAAAGTTAATAATTCAAAAATATAATCTTGAGAAACCTGTAAATTGCTCAAATCAGATGTCTTTTCAATCA